GGAGTTGTGTTAAATGTATACACCTGTATACATTTAAGTGGTTGGTTTAGGGATTGAATATAGCTCTGTCAGATTTCAAAGCCCCTGCCCTTTTCACTATACCACACTGCCTCCCAAATGGCTTGAAAGAGAGAATGCTGCAATATGATGATTGGCTAGAAGGCAGGAGTAGGAATATGTTTCCTTCAGTATGTTCTAGAGCCTCTCTTGAACTAACCTCCATAGATCTCAATAATGTCTCAATATCCATGATTTGTACTTCCTCCTTCCTTCCCTCTCTCCCTCCCACCTTTTTCTCTTTTCTCCAATTAACATCACTACTGCTTATAATATCCAGCTCTGTTCTTTGTATAAAAATATGGAAAAATGGAAGGGTTGAAGTTACAGATAAATTCATCTTCTAGAAGGCTGAGAACTGGGGAATAGGAAGGGATTAATTAGTAGCAATTAATATTGTTGTTTATGGATGGAACATCCTCAACTGCTTTAAAGTAGGGAGAGTCCCAGAACTTCCAAGAATTCCATTTTAGATACCCTTGATTTCTGGGCAATTTTTGACTCTCAAGTTTCACTTCTTCCCTGGATTTACTTAGAATATTTTTATATACAATAAACTCTTCAGTCATCTTCATGAGCATTTATTTTATTTGATCCTTATTTATTCTTCATTTGTGGACTATTTCAAACCAGATTAGGAATCTATTAAGGTTAGAGATTTAATTTTATGTCTTTCCCTTTCTCCCAGTACTTATGGGACAATACACAAAATAGGACTCAGTAAGTTATTTACTGAAAATACATTTGTATTTTAGTTTGAGACAAAGGAAAAATGTATTATTTCTGTTTGAAATTTAGAAGTACATTTCAATTGTTTTTTAATAATATCAAGATAATTTCACTAAGCAGTCTCCATTATTTTGTATTATATTAAGATTGATATTCAATATCATCACAAATTGATATGGTCTACTATGCTATAAAAACTTATTAATAGTTGGCTTTTCAACAGAAGCAAAGATGTAAAAAGATCATTTTTGAAGGTTGGCTGTTTAATTCCTTGACCCTTTATATTATTTCTTTCCTTGTTATCCAGAAGTTTGAGATGCAGCTCATGGAAAGAAAAAAATGGCTCCAGATTAGTAAGCACCACAAAATAAGATTAGGGATCTTTATTGACATGTATACAGGGAGGAGTGTTGTACAGTTGTGGAGAAAATTTAAGAAAGTGAAAAGTAGTAGCTCTGAGAATAAAATAATTAGTTATGGTATTTTTGGACATGTCTTTTAAAAATGCATTGGTAGTAATTTATACTTAAGACTGTGTACTCTGATAATAGTAACTTCCATTAATGTAGTTATTTATATGCTTGGAAAATGAAATAACCATTTTCTGCATTTTTCCCCAAGGAAGCTGAAAGATAGTAATATTACATAATCCAATCAATGCTACATTGATAATAATTAAGTAGATGAGGCTCTTATCTGTTTTGGATACCAAAACCTTGGTCTTTAGGCTCCATGTGCATAAAACTTCAAGATAAATGTATTAACTTTCTCTAAGAGAAATCTTTAACTCCCAGTTCATTTTCTTTGGTCATATGGACTTACTACTCATTAAACCTGAACTCTTAAGAGCTTCAATTGGTTCTCTGTTCTCTGTCATTCACTGTGCCTTAAATGAAGTTTTATATATTCTTAGTTTTTATGGGTTATCGGCAGACCATATTTTAATTCAATTTAGTTTAATTTAACTTATCATTACCCTAAAATAGCTTCTTTTCTTTTCCTTTGCAACTCTTCTTGATTTTTAGCAACATTAGTTGATGCTCATTATATGTAAAACATTTCCCTAAGTGACTTTATAGGCATTATTCAGGACATATCTCAAATCATTATCTTATAGTTTAAAATTCACTCAAGAAAATTTTTAATAAATGACTACCATATCTCGGGTATTGTGCTAACATCTGGAGATACAAAGAGATAAAACATCACGTGGGGTTCTTCTCAGTCAAGGAAAGGAGAGAGACAAGGCAGATAAGGATAGAAATGTTACAGATGCTATGATACTGTGATAAAATAGATAATTCAATGATATGCCAGACATAGGTTGTGTCTGAGGAAATGGTAGTGAACACAACTATTAGACAGTAATCTCTTCCTTCACAGAGCTGACATTCTAACAGGAATATGTGGGGTCTCAGCTTACTTGGATTTGGTGATGTTACTTTCTTATTTAAATGGACAACAAGCTCTAATTGGCATTAAAATGGCTATTAGGAATCTTTGGAACATCAGTTATGTATACAAATGATTGAGTGAACATTGAAAGTAAAGCTACTTTTCAATTTGTAACCTTAAAAGTGATGTGATGGGTATGTTGTAGATGGCAGGTTTCCACTATCAGGATTCTTTCTGGAACAAGAAAGTTCTTAAAGCTGTCAGTTCTCTACATCCTCACCACCAAGAAAGATAAATTCATTTAAAGCTAAATAAGGTAGAATGGTACAATTTGTCTCCCTTGATTCAGTAGTAATGTCTTCAATTCTATAGTGTATGTTAGATCAGAACAGATTTTTCTTTCTTAAATGGAAGACTCTCAAGGATGTTGAACTTGTTTTTTCTGTTGTTCAGTCTTTCAATTCCAGTATAATCTAAATGTGCCTTTTCCATCTTCTTCTTTCCTTGTACAAAGATATTTCCTGTAAGTTCCCCATGTATTAACTTCAGTGAAACATCGTAATTTAAGAAAAGCCATATCTTTATAAAATGGCATTATTATTATAGTTGTGATTTAGGGTGCTAAATTTCCTCAATGACCAAAATTTTCTCCTCTCACAATCTCAAGCTTTGCTGTGATATCAAACAAGATAATTAAGGAGTATATAATGTACTTTGAAAACATCCAAATGCCAAAAACTATGAAATCCTACAATTGAGTTTGTTCATATCATTAATTTCAATGAACAGAAAGTTTATAAATGTAGCTATCTCTTTATAGCTCTCATGAAAACAAATTATTTCTACAGAATTTTCTTTGGTTATTGGATTTTTTCTAAAAATATTTTATTGAATCTCTGTTATTTATTTAGTAAATAATTACTGAGTGTCAGAACTATGCTGGCTTCTAAAGAAATTGGCATATGAAATAGTCCCCATCAAGTGAAGGTGAAAGACAACAAACATCACTATATTGGCTTAGTAAATCTATGATAGACATATTTTGTATATCAGCTATGATTCTAACCTAGTTTTTTTTTTTTTCTTAGCACATCACCTGCCTACAGTACCTCTTAAACTTTAAAATGTGTGTAATAATCTGGGTAGCATAGAGATTCCTTGACTCTACCGTGAGAGAGATTCAGCAAGTGTAGGAATCTGCATTTTCACAAAGATCAAGTGTTTGGGGAGCTGGTAACACTTGAACTTCACTTGGAAAGAAGTTCCCTTCGTGATCTTTCCCTTTTGTCTGAAATTTTCCCAGGCAAAAGTCCCAGATGGCCTCTTCATCTGCTTATCTCAATGCCATGCTCTCAGGACAGCCAGTTTCAATTTATTAGGTCCGTTCTTTTCATCACCTTGACATTACATAATTCTCTTTATTGAGATTCTGACCTTGCTCCTGAAAACGGCACCACCACTAACTGTTGCCTTACCCAGAGAATGACTTAAAGAGTGGGGATTATCAGGAAGAAGATGAGAAGGAAATGCACTTCTCATGGCACCATAAAGGAATGCTTTTTAAACAAGGTGTTGAGTCACATCAGCTAGGAAATGCTTACCTGTAGAGGAATACTTTTTGTAACACTTTACAAATATTAACAATTTAGCCTTCATAAAAAATCTATAAAGCAGATGCTGTTATTTTGTTCATTTTATAGATTAGGACACCGAGACTCAGTAACTTACCCCAACATCACACAGCTACTAAGTGGTACAGCAGGGATTTGAACTCTGGTAGTCTGGCTCCAAGGTTGTGGCCATAATCACTCTATGGGTGCTGTCTTACTCTTAGTCAAAGGAATGTCCTGTGTTTACTACCACCATTCACATCAAAATGACTTCCAGTAAGTTACACAAACAAATATAAACAAACCACAAAAAAGCAAAAATTATCCCCCAAGCAAAACAAGACAAATACTACATAGGATAGTATTTTCAAATCAAAGATGTGTTTCAACTTCAAATTACAGGAAACTTTTAGGAAAGCAAAGAGACCATAGACACAACACAACATACAGGAACATATCTCTTGTTTTCAGAAGAGATAATTTCTTTTAAAATAGCTTTCCCCCCAGAAATACAGTATAATCCATGAAGAGCATGAATTTTTGAGTCAGAAAGATCAGGCTTCTAATTCTGGCCTGTCATTTACTTCTCTGATGACCTAGAGAATTTTCTGGCTTGAATTAATTCTCAGCTTCCATGAAATAAACATGACAAGGCAAACTTTGGTGAATATTAAATGAAATAAATATGTCAAGTGCTCAGTATTATTCCTGGAACATAGTAGCAGTGTCTCAATAATTAAAACGTATTTACTAGTATTATTATTGTAGCATTAATTATTATTTTTTTAAGTTTATATATTTACTTTCACAGAGAGGTGGAGAGGGGCATAGAGAGAGGGAGAGAATCCCAAGCAGGCTCTGTGCTGTTTGCGCAGAGTCTAATGTGGGCTCTATCCCACAAAACCATGAGATCACGACCTGATCTGAAACTAAGAATTGGATTCTTAACCAACCGAGCCATGTAGGTGTCCCAGTAGTAGTAATTATTATTAGTAGCAGTAGTGGTAGCAATAAATTTAGTACTCTTAGTAGAATATAATCTTTATACTCTTAGAATATAATGTTTAGACAGAATGTTTTTGGTGGAATTAATACATTATAAAAGTTTAACTGATGTTGAATCTTCCTTTTTAACATCATGATTGCAAAGTGCTTATTTTGCTCCTTTTAAGATGTCTCTTCTGAGATGGACTCATTTATCTTCACCAGGTGATCAACCCAACACTCATCAACTGCTAGCCTTGGCCTCACGCCTGCGGGAGAGTACTGAACTCTTCCAGTCAGATGAGATGCGTCCTGCTAATGATCCCAAGGAGAGAATTCCAATCCGCGTCCGGATGCTGAATGACATTCTCCAAGACATGGAGAAAAGCTTCCTGGTGAAGCAAGTGCCACCAGGTTTTTATAGGTAAGATATGTGTCCCAACATTTATATGTTTATGCCCCTCAATTAAATTTTTGTTTAACTTTCAGAACATGTACCTTCTGTGAACTGACGCTATTTTTTAATAATAACTATGTGTAGTTATGAGTAATTATCATGTGTACAATTTCAGAACCATTCTCCCCCAAAGAACGTTTCAACTGCATGAGCATAGAATAAAGGACATTGGTTTAACAGCATCATATAGAAAATGACAAAGAATTTTTTTGACATTAAGTTCAATATGAGTCAGACATAATATGGCTACTGTAAAACCAGATGGAATTATAGGTTGTATTGGGAAAAATATATTTTTTGAATGAATCAGAAAATAAGCCTATACTATTCTTCCTAGTAAGACCACATTTGTGTTTAATTTTAGAAGTTACCTTTTAAGAGAAAGAGAAATAAGTTTAATATTCAGAAAAGAGTAGAATTTAATGGATCCTGAAACAGCCAGGGGACTAGCGATATGGGTTAGAGGTCACAACAGAGTGATTCCTAGGAACATTTTAACAATCTTAGTAAATATTTTCATAAACAACTTTTGATATGGAAGGGGGATTCAATTTTGACTTTTAGAGGGAAAATGGAGTTTAAAAGATTTTAACAGAGAGAGACAGAAACAGAGAGATAGTGCAGAGCCTGACCTGGAACTCAAACCCACAAAATGTAAGATTTTGTGACCTGAGCCAAAATCAACAGTCAGATGCTTAACTGAGCCACCCAGGAACCTCTACATATTCTTATTTAAGTCTTTTATTTTTCTACAAGACATAAAATATAAATACACACAACTTTCTGTGTAATAGATGCATATATGATGTGTATATGTGTATAACAATTTAATATATGTATATGTGTGTGTGTGTGTTTGTGTGTGTGTGTCCCGTGTGAATATAAATTTATGTGAGTATGTGAGTAAAGGCAGGAGATAAAGAGGTGTTGGAGGAATAGTGTGGCAGAAAAAATATTGGGCCCAGAGCCCACATTCATAAAAGAGTTCAAATTTAGACCTTTGCACTATATCAGTGGATGTTTCTGTGTGTTTGTTTGTATATGTATATAATTGTATATATAATATACAAATAAATATAAATTAAAAATACCATGGACTAGACATACTATACATGGCCAAAGGACATAACTAAGACTAGAAAATTGAAACATACGAATACAGATTTTAATTACATATAATAAAGAAGTTTCTGGAAAGTAGTGTTCTTAAAACTCTAAATGTGATGCTTTTATAGGGTAGTGAACTCAGTATCAGGGCAGGTATTAAAGTGTAGGCTAGGTAACTTTAAGTACCTGAGTATTTTGACTATACAAGATTTAAAGTGCCCTTTACCACCAAAATTCTGTGATCTAACAAACCACTTAATTTCTCTGCATCTTAATTTATAAATCTATAAAATGAGATAGTGGAATGAGACCTGTTTAAAATAAGAATCCTTTCCTACTTCTGATATTTGGTGATTTCCCTTAATGATTTTTAAACTCAAATTCTCATTTAAAATCCTTATATCATTTCTTCTAACAGTATGTATTCTGTAATCTAAGACTTTGGAAAATGTTAATTTATTATGCCAGATATTTGTAAGCACCAGAGACATAACCTTCCCTGATGAGGTTACATTTTTGAGGTGGGGATGGGGAAACAAATTGAACAAGGTACCTAAATAAAATATAGTGTATGGTAGGTATAAAAACTGCTAAAGAAACAATTAAACCACATTATTAAATTCAACATTATTTAAAATATCTTATTCTGAAAAAGAACATTATATTTTTAGAATATAAAAATTTTCCTTACTTTTAATGTATAAAAAATTCAGAAATTAATAAAAATCCTACATTAAAAATATAGTTTTATATATTATGGTATATAGTAGACTCTTTCACTATTTGCCTTTCTTGGTTCTTGCACTCAATATAGAAGACCCCTATGGTCTGGGATATCTGTCCAGAGAACTTTGTACTACCCCTCAAATAAAATTTATTTATTATACATTTTGAGTAGAAAAGGAAATCTTGATCTTGCCTCAAGTTTAAAATGATTAAGAAGGTGATTCTTCTCCATTAGTGATATGATTATAGCATATCTTGTATCCCAGTGTGCAAGCCTCAAAATGTTGATGTGTTAATGTTCTAACTCATGTAACAAACTCTAGAAAGCTTATGGCTGAATATTTTGGCATTATTTTAAACTATTATGACAATTTTTTTTTTTAATTTTTTTTTTAATGTTTTATTTCTAGGAGAGAGAGAGAGACAGCGTGAGCAGGGGAGGGTTAGAGAGAGAGGGAGTCACAGATTGAAACAGGCTCCAGGCTCTGAGCCGGCAGTCAGCACAGAGCCCGACGCGGGGCTCGAACCCACGAACAGCGAGAACATGACCTAAGTGAAAGTTGGACGCTTAACCGACTAAGCCACCCAGGCGCCCCTATTATGACAATTATTGAAGAAATGCATGTATGCCATTATTCTCTTTGGCTGTATTAATCCATATATATGCCAACAGCAAATAGATTACAATAGATAGACACAAATAGATAGCCTCAATTTGAATTATCTAACTGACCTTTATCGAAAGAGTCATGCATTTTTACTTCATTTATGAAACATATAACAAATCATCCTACTTCATGTTTCCATTGGTAGGCAATTCATATTTCTAAATATTCTTGAAGGAAAAAATTTTAAATCACAACAAAATTTCTACTCTCAATCCTTGTAAACTCTTCCTTTACAGGCAAGAAAATGTTCAAAGTAAAAAAATGAGTGTGATAAGATCATATGTAGTTTAAGAAAACGGAAAATTGATTATAATGCTAGCCATATGGATTAAATATAAAATTGTTAATTACATCATATAAAAGAACATTTGGTGAACAGGGTTCATTTTTTCTAGTGTTAAATAACTTTTAGAGATATTATTCATGTAAGAACCTCTTAAACCTGATGGTGTTATGACAATTCTTATCAAATATACAAGGAGGAAGTCAGAAGCAATTTGCTTTTTAAGAAAGTTGTTGACAGAAGTTCATTGTATAAAACTAAATATTTCATTTGGAATTTGGATCATGTCCCAAAGGATACTGCTTCCACCAAAGTATCGCTAAACACTGAAACATTTTTAGAATATGTGAAGAAATTTTGGCATCAGAAGATTGAAAGATTTTGAAATCCTATGATGTTGCATGTAAAACCTTGTTGTCATTCTCATAAATAAACCCTCGTTGAACATTGCTCTGTGCAAGCATACTGCTAGAAACTGGCAATGTCAGATCCCTACCTTTAAGGAGTTTGATTCAAGAAGTAAACCAGGCAAATCATAAATCAAAAAATTTGAAGAATACTTAGGTAAATTTCCCAATGAATAGTACAGGTAAGAAGTGCTGTTGGGATTCAGTGAGGAGAGATATTATCTTGTAGTGGACAAGAAAGACTTTTTAGGGGAAGGAGCAAATTTATCTGGGCTTAGGGGAATTATAGGATGCCCATTAAATTAAGGGGCCTATAGACAGAATGTTTTTCCCCAAAAATTTATATGTTGAATCCTGATCCTCAGAGGGACCTGAGGGAGGTGATTAAGGCATGAGAGATTAGTGCCTTTATAAAAGAGGCTCCACGGAGCTCCCTTGAAATTTTCTGCATTGTGAGGAGAGAATATCTGTGGACCAGGAAGTGGACCCTCATCAGATGCCAAAACTGCTAGGACTTTGATCTTACACCACCCAGCCTCCAGAACTGTGAGAAATAATCTTGGGTTTTTCATAAGCCACCTAGACTAAAACATTCTGTTATAGCAGCCCAAACTGACTAAGAAAGGGAGCATTTCTAGGAGAGGGTGGTGTGAAGAAAGACACAAAGAAGAGGTTGAGCACTGTGTACTGGGGAGCAGAGAACAAAAAGTGGGATAGTTTGAATGGCTCTTAGGATTGTAATTATGGAAAGGTATGAAGGAATCGACTTGTGGAGTACTTTAAATTTTTTGTTGAGAAGTTTGAACTTTATTTTTTATACAAAAGGAGCCATGAAGAAATCTGCATCTTAGGAAGACTTACTTGGTGTTCCAGATAGGGTGCCCTGGAAGAGAACAGAAACCTTCAGGAAGACTCTGGGTATAAGAACAGCATGGTGTGCTGAGAACATGGGTTTGGTATATTGGTGTCAGGAATGAAGAGCAAAGGGGTGATTTGGGAGATGGAGCTAAAGGAAGAATTAATGAGTTTAGGGACTGAGTGGCTTTGAGAATCTTTTTTAAAGTTGTTTTTTAGGATTCCCCTGGGCCTACCCAGATGAAGCATGGATGATTAGCAACAAGTTCCTCCTCTCTGTCTTTTCTCCAACCAGTTAGTTCAGGAGTTCAGTATCACTTGGTCTCAGGATAATTATATGATCATTGGTTGATAATCATAATTTCTAAAGTCCCTTTGAGCTCTAAAAATCTGAGTCAATGGATACCCACAGCATTAAGCTTCACCTCTATAATTAAGGGGAATTCTAACCTTGAGGGAGGGGAGCAGGAAACAATACAGTGATAGACTGCAATGGCATAATGAAAAGCTGCAGAGTCAGAGATTTTGAGCTTAGTAGGCAGTGGGAGCAGATGAAACAATATATATGATCAGGGACCATGTAGTAAAAGTACATTACAAACCACAAAGCATCTCAAAAATACTACTACTATCAAAATCCCACAATATAAAATTTGACTTATTGCCCCTGAATAGGGAACCCATTATGCATATTCTTAAAAATTCTGAATCTTTCATCTCTCCTCTTCCTTTACTATGACTTTCTTTACTACTCCACTACTCCCAGGAACTGGTGTTGTCTGGAGATGGGAGCTTATAGTATCTGTTTTGTTGTTGGATTCTCTTTAACTCCCTTTAGTTATTATTCTGCAAAGGCAGAGTAAGCAGTCTCACCCAGTGAAACTATTCATTCTCTACTACAATATACCTCCCTCTCCCCAC